AGCAGCGTGATGGCCGTCATTTTTGAGGCGTTTTATTACTCAAACCAAACTAAGAGGTAAGAGCCTGCTAAATTTAGGTGCTCTTGTTAATTTTAGCACCAAAGAGTTGAAAGCTCATTACGTGAGCAGGGAATTCAATTTTTGAAAACTAAATGAAAATATTCTTTCCCGGAAAGAAAAAATAATCCTTAATTCTTTTGCCCTTCTCAGAACCTAAAATGCTGTACGCTAGAACTGTGCTGCTCAAGCTTTGGACTAAAGACATTGTAACACACAGTTAATGCTCAGTGAGTCACTCCCTGCTTTATACCCAGCAGGGGGAAGAAGATGGATGTATTTTTTTAAACTTCACTATCAAACATAATGTGAAATATACTACTGCTCGATGCTAAGGTTCATAGTAAATCACAAGAAAGAGAGAGCCCTAAGTAATAGGAATAGAGGCAGTACAGTACCTGACATTGAAGAGATGTGAAACAAATAACATTTTTCCTCGGTTACACATATTTGGATTACAGCTATCTTTGCCATTTTTCCTTTAGTGTACGAAGGCGGCCATTCAATATCAAATCCAACTGCAGCCCCATCTGATAAAGTCTGCCTGAAAAGAAATGGATATTCCTCACATTTAACTGTTTTTCTACCAGCACATAGAACGGCACGCGTGAGTCGTCTCACAAAGATGACTAAGGGATGCACAGCTAGTACATCTTCTCCCGCACATGTGTAAGACACAAATCATTTTACTACTAAGACCCTCAGCAAGTGAAATTCCTGCTGGTACAGAAAGCTACGCTGTAACTCCCAAACCAGACAGATTTCTAGCAGATCTCACAGTACACAGATGGCAGCATAGCAAACCTCAGGAAACAGACAGATACAAAAGGGGATCTAATTCAAGGAACTTTCCAGTTCCTTGAAAGCTTGCTTTTTATTTATCATGCTACAACAGAAAGTTCTGAACACAACTGCTTCCCCTAGTAAGGTAAGCTGTGCTATGCAAGAACTGGGGAAAAAAAACCTATTTGCATCACGAATGAATGACCTTCAAACCTACACTCCCGTTATGAAATAACATATACACCTGATTTACTGCAGCTCTTATCTCCCAATGAAGTCAGCGAGGCTCAAGAAACTATAAATACCATGGAAAGCAGAGAAACTGCAGTAGGGCTTTTCACTGTATGCTTTCTCTTAAAGAGAGTGCCAGGTTGCAGCCAGGATATCTGCCAGAAGAATTCCAACTGGGGAAGCTACAACTGCGCAGCACGCTGGAAAGAGGTGTCCTGAAAACACTACTTGTTATAGACCAGCCAGGGTCATCCTCAGAGAAATAATTAATTCACTGTCACCAGGAACAGGTTCAGCGTGTGCTTATAGCCAACACACAAGACATGTTTGGCACGGAGATCAAAACAGCCTGTGCAACCAGAGGTTTCTCTGGTCAAACCGTTCAACTCTAGGCACTCTGAACGCACAATCAGCTAGAAGAAGTAGAGAGAGAATAGCCAATCCCTTTTCAGAAAGTAAGGGGCTCTCCAAAGGAACAGAGAAAGAGCTATTACCTGATGTCTTCTGAGAGAAGGGAGCAGTCACTGGCTTCATAGCTGTAAATGATGGAGCCACGGAACTCTAGGAATGGCAGCCCATCTTCCAAAATGCTCCTCTGAATGTTAGAAGTCTGTGGGACAGCATTTGGAAAAGACTCTGTTACTGGTCAGATGTAACCTCAGCACAGAGACACATCAGCACCACAGCCATTGAGTGCTGCCTCAGTGCTGTACCCCAGCAAACCCAGCACTGATGTAGACGACACGTAAGTGTTCAGACCCCCGATCTGTTTCCCAAACTTCAAGCACCCGGACTGAAAGCTAGCACGCTGAATTCTCACCTCCATTTTATTTCTCTGCATTCTTCCAGCCAAAGAGATTCAGCAGCTTTCAACAACAAGGCTAGGGAAAATATTTATTTCTGACAGTGTCACAAGCTCCTCAATGCTATTTTAAAATGCTGCAGCACTTCCAAAGTTCAATAATTTTTTAATTTAAGTAGTTGCCTGAATTATTCAAACCCATTCAGCTATAATCCGTGGAAAAATCCCTATTTCAGTAGGAATTCAACATAAACCAGTAACTCACAGGCACATCAAAGAATTTCTGAACACACAAAGCACAGAAACAAACCAAGAATTTCTGAAGAGGACACTGAAGGAACAACATGAGACAAGATCTGTGGTTCGGTGCAGTTGTGCACTGGAAAAGCACGGGGCTACAAGTGTTTGGCTGTACCACACAGCTTTGTCCCCTTATTTCCTTGGTCCCACATCTCATCTAGCCCACTGCACTTCAAGACAACAGATCTCTGTTAAGTTCCCCATGCATGAAGTAAAACCCAGTTTAAAACTACATGTGACATTTAAAAAGAGAGAGATCCTCCATCAACTGAATGCTGGTTTAAAAATTGAAATTTTAAGCCCGCAGGAAAAGGTGACATCAATGGCTCCAGGCAGTTCTTTCCTTTTCCTCTCCAGAAACCTACTTACTAAAATTTATTGACCGAGAAACTATCTCGAACTCTAGGAATACTGATAACATTCACCTGGTTGCAAAATCATCAAGTTACTTAAAAATATATAGGTAAGCTATGAGATGTCAGTACTAACAAATACGACAGCATTGCACAGTAAGACTTGAAGAACAACATCTGTCAATCACAAGCCATCACGTGCAAAACAGCTTTATAACACAGATTCAGAAACAATAAATTGCCTGGAAGAGGACAATCCTGAAACTACAGAAAAGATACTGATAATTCTATGCTCACACAATGAAACATTTATTTCAGCTAACAAAGGGTTAAAGTTTAACCAAAAACTGTCGGTTTAACTTAATAGAAGGTCAAAGTGCAAGGTCCTGCACTTGGGCTAGGGAAACCCCAGGCAGAGATACAGGTTGGGTGGAGAATGGCTTGAGAGCAGCTTTGAGGAGAAGCATCTGGTAGCGCTGGTTGATGGAAGACTCGACATGAGCCAGCAATGCGTGCTTGCAGCCCAGAAGGCCAACAGTATCCTGGGCTGCATCAAGAGAAGCGTAACCAGCAGGTCAAGAGAAGCGATTCTGCCCCTCTACTCTGCTCTTGTGAGATGCCACCTGGAATACTGCATCCAGTTCTGGAGCCCCCAGCACAAGGACACTGAGGTGTTGGAGTGGGTCCAAAGGAGGGCCACAAAGATAGCCAGAGGGCTGCAGCACCTCCCCTGTGAAGACAGGTTGAGAGAGCTGGGACTCTTGCCTCAAGAAGAGAAGGCTCCAGAGGGACTTCATAGCAGCCTTCCAGTATCTGAAAGGGATCAACAGGAAAGCTGGGGAGAGACTTTTTATAAGAATGTGTAGCGACAGGTTGAGGGGAAATAGCTTTAAACTGGAAGAGGTTAGATTTAGACTAGATATTAGGAAGAAATTATTTACTGTGAAGGCAGTGAGGCCCTAGAAGAGGTTACCCAGCAAGGTTGTGGATGCTCCCTCCCTAGAGCATCCAAGGCAAGGCTAGATATGGCTTTGAACAACCTGGTCTATGGGAGGAGCTGGAACTAGGTGATCTTAAAGGTCCCTTCCAACCCAAACCATCCTATGATTTCATGAAATAAAGCCTATGCTACCAGTTCCTTCTTATCACCTAATGCAAGAAAAACTGCTTAAGTGAGTCTTCTGCTTTTCTCTCATGATGTAGCTTTCTAATTATCAAAGCAGTCTTTGACGTCACAGGGCTGTGTCCCTTCTAGTGAGAAATTTTATACCTAAAGTTGCTTATACGTGCGGAGATAAATGCATCCAAGGTCACTTTAGCATTCTCGGAAAACTAGAAATTTAGATACAATCTTTATGATATATTATTCTCTCTGAGCAGGAAAAGAGGCACCACAAGCACACAGACCCACACTGCTTTGTTACACAGCCTAACACCAAATCAATTTCCCCCCCTTGTGATAGCATACCTTCTTATCACCCAAAATGCTCTCCTGGCTACATGCACGCATCCACTGGGGATACTTGTTCTCCAAATCCCCTTTATTCATTTTATCCACATTCGTGTTACCTTTCCATTAAAAAATAAAGAAGTAGATTAGTCAAAAGTCAGTACAGAGCGTAGCTATCAGCACGACGAGGCCAGAACAAGATTACCTGGGCGGTAATCAGCCCTCCAGACACAAGGGCACCCGCGGCGCTGCCCAAGCCAAACCGCGGGAGAGCCGTAAGGCTCTACTGCTGTCAGGCGTCAGCCTACGCCTAGCCCTAAGGCCGGGCCTAAGGCGAGGAAGCGGGCAGCCCCGGGCCGAGCCGGGCCGGCAGGCCCCACACAGGCATCCGCTCCACAGCTACGGTTTCCTCGCAGGACAGCAGAGAGGCTCCCGGCGCAGAGGCCGTGCTGGCGGCAGAACAGACGCCTCAGCGGCGGACTGAGGCTCTTAACCCGCTTCTTCCCGCCCCCCGCCCGCGTGCCGCGTGTTTCCACAACACCGGGCCGCCCCTGCCACAGCAGGACGCCGCGCACCCACACCGCGCCCTGCGCGGAGGCACGTTAAGGCGGCGGCAGCCCCGGCGCTCACCGGGCCCCGGCTCCGCGCCTATCCAGCCCGCGCGTCGCACGCTGACCGCGTCAACGAAACAGCCTCCTGCCGAGCATCGCCCCGCGTCACCTCTAGCGGCGGCGGCGGGAGGTTACCCGAGGTGACACGCGTGCGCGGCGGGACGAGCGGCCGCGGGGCATTGTGGGCGCTGTAGTCCCGTGTCCGGGCGGGCCGCGCACCCTCCGGCGAGCCGGCGGCGCCCACCGCGTTGCCGCCGCCGCCGCCGTCGTTCTCCACCGGGCGGGGCCGGGCCGGGTCGGCGGGGCGGAGCGGAGCGGAGCGGCGGGGGTGCGCTAGCCCGGGGCTCTGCGCGGCGGGGGGCGGCGGGGCCGCCGGCTGCGGGCGGTGGCGGCGGCGGCGGCGGCGGCGGCGGCGGCGGTGGGTGAAGGGCAACGACGGCGATGGGTGCTATGGGGTGAGTTGGGGGCAACGGCGGGGGGAGGCGCGGCGCGGAGAGAGCAGGAGGGGCTCCGGCGAGTGGTGCTGGGGGCACGGCGGGAGAGATGCGGTGCTGAGGGGTGCCGGGAGACTCAGCCGGGGGCGCACGGGGGCCCTTGTGGGGGCACTGGGGAGCAATGCTGCGGGGATGCGATGCTGGGGAGCGCTGCGGGGCGCGGGCGGACCTACGGGGGCGCCGGGAAGCGCCACTGGGGGCACCGAGGAAGAGATGCGGTGCCGGGGGGGCAGAGGAGCCGTGCCGGGGGGCACCGGCGGCCAGGATGCTGGGGGCAGCGCTGAGGGCAGTGCCAGCGGCAGCACCCACAGGGGGAAAGGGATAGGAGCATCCGGGGGAGAGGGAGCTCGGCGTCCGTTGGGGTGGGTGTAGGGGTCGGGATGCGTGGGGTTGGGAGGGAAACGGCATGGGGTGGCCACCACGGGTGGGCTGGAGACGCGGGGAGGTCTGTGGCACCGGGGGCCCCGGTGGGCGATCATCAATACTGAGGCAAAAAGGTCACGAGAGGTGCGAGGAGGCAGAACCTAAGGACGCAGAGCCGGGAGCACTGGCTGCTGAGAACGGGGTTCAGGGGACACGTGGCCGCCAGGGTGGGGAACGGAGCTTCGACGGGGGCGGCTGGCAGCGGGGAGCTGGGATGCAGGCAGCAGCGTGGGTAGGGGGAGCAGCAGCGAGCAGAGCCGCCGCCAGGAAGCAGAACAGGCCCCTGGTGCTGATGTTGTCATCTGCGTCTCTGTTATGTGTTATTTCCAGCTGATTGGTAAAGATGGAAAGAGGGAGAGGAGGAGGAGGAGGCGGAGGAGGAAGGAACGTGGGAGGCTCTGGCCTGCACAGGAGCATCTATTCCCAGTCCCAGCAGCAGTACCATTACACGGCCCCCTCTCAGGGGGGCTGCATGGAGATCCAGGAGCTGGCCTCCAAGAGGGTGGACATCCAGAAGAAGCGATTTTATCTGGATGTGAAGCAGAGCTCCCGGGGCCGATTCCTGAAGATCGCAGAGGTCTGGATTGGGAGAGGCAGGCAGGACAACATCAGGAAAAGCAAGCTGACACTCTCCCTGTCCGTGGCCGCCGAGCTGAAGGACTGCCTGGGCGATTTCATTGAGCACTACGCCCACCTGGGCCTGAAAAGTGGCCACAGGCATGAGCACAGCAATGGCAAGGAGCAGCACTCGAGGCAGCGCCAGCAGCACCCGCCGCCCTCACCCTCGGGCTCTGTGGGCTCTGAAGAGCACCCTCATAGCGTCCTCAAAACAGAGTACATCGAGAGGGACAACAGAAAATATTACCTTGACCTGAAGGAGAATCAGCGGGGCCGCTTCTTGCGGATCAGGCAGACAATGAGCCGGGGACCTGGCATGATTGGTTATTTTGGCCACAGCTTGGGACAGGAGCAGACTATTGTCCTTCCAGCGCAAGGGATGATCGAGTTCAGGGATGCTTTGGTCCAGCTGATTGAAGAATACGGCGAGGGGGACATGGAGGATCGCAGGGGTGGGGGAGATGAGCCCCCTGAGCTCCCTGAGGGCACCTCCTTTCGGGTGGACAACAAGAGGTTCTACTTTGATGTGGGATCCAACAGGTATGGCATTTTTCTGAAGGTAAGTGAGGTGAGACCACCCTACCGTAACACCATCACAGTTCCATACAAAGCATGGACAAGGTTTGGGGAAAATTTTATCAAGTATGAAGAAGAGATGAGGAGAATTTGCAACAGCCATAAAGAAAAAAGGATGGATATCAGAGGGGACAGTGGTGAAGAGCAAGAGGGTCTCGAATAGAGTGCACTGAACTGGCCGTCTGGCAAAATAAAACAAAAAGCAGATATTGGTGAGAGGGACTGATCTATAGTAATTTGAAGTTGCCCCTTTTTTTTTTTTTTTGTAAAGTCCTTTTCTGGTAGTCAGTACATAATGTTATGGGAGTCTGGTTATCATGCTATATTACACCCAAAATATCTCTGTATTTCTTAAGAAAGTACCAACCTCCCAAGTCTGTATGAGTCAGCTTCTTTGAGTGTGTAAGACTACGAAACTATGCGTATCAGCACAAAAAAGACGGCATTCTGACCTTTAAATAGTCTAGATAAGGCTTGTGTTGCACTTGAGCGTGGTACAAAAAAAGCCCTCACACTGAAATGTATCGGTTTCTCCTTATGGCAGTTTTTCTGGAACTGAACTCTGCCTGTACTCAGTAAGAAGGCTGAAGAGCTGAGCCATAGGGCACTTACTGCAAAAACTGTCTTCATGTTAATTGCTCAGACATATATGAGGAGAGGGAGATGTTTAAAAATTGGTACTGGTTACTGCGTTTGAAATGATGTTCTTTGTGGGAGAAATCTCAGTAACCAGTCAGACCTTTAATACTGTGCTAGTGGAGAGCAGAAGATTTGTTATTAATCCCATAGTTTTGTGCTAACCTAATAACCTGAGTATCCTAGTATATGAAACTGTGCTCAAGTGCTAAGCCTTCCAAATTCATGGCAACAAGTCATAATCCATTCTTCATCTCCATGTTCTGCCCACACGGGGCTGATGATTTTTTTAATGCATTCCTCCAAATTTCAGAAGCTATTTTTGTAGCCGGGGTATTGTGGGTTCTGGCAGGAGGCTGTGCAACGGGTGTGCTGAGCCAGATGGCTGCTGTGATTGAGGTTCCAGAGTTCCCTCCCAATTGTGAAATGAATGCGGCCACGATGTTACACACATGAGGACAACACCTGGGCACTTCTCTCCTCCTGCTGTGAGGAAGATCTCTGGGGGGTTTGGTGCACTATTTGATTCGTATCAAAATGCATCCCTGTCCTATTGATCTGTAACACATTTTCAAAGCCATGGCTGCACCAGATTTTCTGTCACGTTGACTTTACAGATGTTATTAGTACAACATAAGACCAGTGCCCTGCCATCACCTCCTTCCCGCCCTGTCGAAGCTGGAGCTGAAATCCACCAATTTGATTTCTAGCTTTGTGCAAAGTCTACTGGCAGCTCTGCAGCCTGAACCTTACAGTCCTTGTCAGAAGAATTCTCTGCTGGGAGGGAAAATGCATAGAATTAGCAGGCCTGAAGACTTTGAAAATTCTTGGTCATTTCTTAGCAAATGGATACGTATCATTCAAGGGACTTTTTCAGCCTTCTGAAATCACTGGGAATTTGGTTGAGTTCCAGGTACTTTAAAGAATGTGTTTCCCACCTCTAAGGTTTTTTTGAAGGATGCGTGACTAGTCAGATATTTATAATCACTTGCATTGTATTTTGCAGAGTGGCCAAGTGTGCACGTGGACCAGATGTTTTCCAACTCAACCATTCCACTGTTTTTTAAATCTGTTCAGAAAGGTTTTTATCTTCACTCTTAGTCTGGACCCACCTGCACGCTGCATGGCCACGCTAAATCCAAAAGCTATTGCCTGTTATGATATTAACCGTAGCAAGAGAAGCTGGGGAGGCAGGGGTGGGAACTGAGAGGATAATCTGGGCTTTACTTTGGGTACTAATAACAGTCAATCTGTTTTAACTTTAAAAAAAAAGAAAAAAAAAAGAAAAGAAAAAGAGCAAAGAAAAAAAAAAGCTTGCATCAAAATCACCAAAGAATCTTTAGGAGATGTCACAGTTGTGGCAGAAAGTAAGAAAGTTAATTTCACTGTTTTAGGTGATTTGCCCTTTACATAAAACTACATATAGCAGTTACAGCAAGCAAACATTTGGCTTAGTGTCACAACAACCATCCATTTCTGCACAGATTGCTCTTTCAGGTACTTTTTCAAGTCTGTAAGAGATTTTCACCACTTGAACTGCTAGCAGACCACAATGAATCAGCTAGAGGCATTATGGGGTACTGGTTCATCTTTGCTTCTAGGCTTTTGGTCGCAATGTTTTTAACAGGTTTGGTTAGCAAACAATTACAATAACTTCTTGTCCCAGTTGGTGTGAAACAAGAGTTTAGCAAGCAAGTCCCGGATGCACAAGTCAGCATGTTGCTGGCTGCTGCTGCCCTTTACAGTGCCTGGAGTTACAATGAACTTATCACAGATCCTAACCAACTGGAGCTATGAATGTACAACTCTTTTATGTTCGCCTTCCTGCTCCCGTGTGGCACTCCTCCCCTACGCACTCAACATCTTCCAGTCCCACGTCTGTGTCAATGCATCGTAAAAGCTGCCACGTTGGAATTTGCTTAGGTTAGGTGTGTGTTGTAAGTGGTCACGCATTCCTTCTGTTCCTTTGGTGTTAGTAAGGAAAATACTTGCAATGGGCAAAGTGATTGAAAAGGCCTGTTTATTAATCCTGTCTTTTGCTTAAAAAAAAAAAAAGAAAAAAGATGAGATGAGATGCAAAATGGCTTTTGTTATTGCTACTCACTTGCCATTTTGACAAAAGGGTGTCTAAATGCAGCTGGCTGTATCTTAGTAAGACTGGTATCTCTGTGCGTTTAACCCATTTATTTTTTTTAAATCTTTTTCCTGAGTTAATTAATTGGCCTTCTGATTGCATTAGTGTATTGTAAATAGCAGCCAGGAATCCAGTGCTGGCTGTGTGGCAGGGCTGGTTCCACAGGATTCACTAATGCATGTACTCTCCCTGTGTGGGATGCACCTTAGTATCCAAAACTGGATGAGATCTTCAAGTTCACAGCCGACTACCAATGGATAAACCACTAGCGACAGGTTTCCACAGAAATATAAAGACTACTGGTGCTTGCAAATATTGTCATGGGAGGATAAAACAGACTAACTCAAAATGTAGCAATGCAAAATTGTACCAGTTAGATTTGGAAACGGGTTCATCATTATTTTTGGCAGTGCATTTTCAACCTCTGAGAGCAGCAATAATGTAAGCTGCTTGTGTGCAGAAGGGCCCGTTGCAATGCTTGAGAATGCTGTGTTCCTCATGCATTTCAAATGTTCATTCTCTGTGCCCTAAAACTGCCATGTCCCTTAAACTTGAGAAAACACAAGCTTATTTGCACTAGAAAGAACGGCCAAAAACAATTCTAGGAGGACAGGGTGAAGAGTACCAATCTGAACCTCTTTTCTCGTGAGAGAATTCCTATTAAAGTCCTCAACTGTTTCAAAATTATATGGTCCAGACAGAAGTCTGTCAGTTCAATAAGAAAATCCTAATGCACTTTATATTGTGTAAATAATAGGAGCATATTTCTGCCACTGGTCTGGCAGGGGGTGCTTCAGCGTTGTAATCTGAACCTTGAAGAGGTTGTATCCTGTGTGCACGTGTCAGATATGGACCTCTTGTACCTTCTTGACCCAGCTCCTGGACAGGTGTGGTGGTACAGATCCTCTGAGCTCGTCAAAGCGAGACACTGAGATGTAGTATGCAGTGCTGCTGAACAGCCTGAGCTGGTGGCAGTGCCTGCTGTGGCTCTCCGGCAGTTTAGGTCCGCTCTGAATGCTGTTGCTGAGCCTGACAAACAAGATTTTCAAGGCCACACCAAGTTGTTATGCTTAGCTTTCCCTTCCGTACAGATGCTTGTGCCATCCCTCAAGGTCTTGCTTTGAGAATAAGGTGTCGTGGAGGCTTTGCCAGCTGACCCCCACCTGCTGTGAAGAAGCTGCCTTTCTTGGCAAAGGACTAGCAGAAAAGCATGTTAACAAGGGACTGGGAGGCTTCCTGTGGCCAGGCTCCCCACATGGCACTGCTTGAAGGTGACAAAAATCATGTCTTGGGGACATGTGTGGTGGGCTCCACCCTGAAAGATGCAGCTGTGGCAGTAATCTGCTCTTTGTCGTGTTTCTTGTATGTACTCAATATATAAAAATTCATATTCACGTCTAGGCATTGATATATTTATGTGAGTATATTGTAGCCTGTAGTAGCTCGTAACAAAATAATCTATTTATCTGAAGTACACAGTCTAAAGATGGGGCTTAAAAGGCAGTTTCTCATACTATCAGTTTGGATAAGCGCATTATTTCACTGAGAGCACTTTGCCTGCTGCTTATCATGGCCCTTTAAAGATTTTGGCTTTTAAGCACTTTCATCTCTTAGGTTTTCAGTGAGGCTGCAAGGAAAACATAGGCAAGAGAAGGGAAAACTTTACTTTGAGGCGCAGTGCAGGTAAAGCAAGAGCTGCAGGTATCAGCCCGTTGCTGCCCCACGGGTCATGTTGCATTCCCACACTGTTTTAAAATCCCTCTACTCTGCAAACCTTTACATTCATAAAATATGCCATTGTAAGGATTAAAAAAACCTGTCCTTTATTCAAAAAAATCCCAATCAATTACCAAAATCAGAGTTGGCATCCATTTTTTTTTCTGCTGAAGATGTTGTAGTCTAATGGTTACATTGTTTATTTCCCAAGGCCTGTTCCGGTGACCTAAACCTGTGGGAAAGGCAGCTGGTAGTGGCCAGGAAGCCTGCTGCTTGCTTGACTTGCAGCTCTTTTATCCACGTGTATTAATTTTTCTAGCAGAAAAGTTTATTAGTGTGTATTTTTATTGTGCAGACTTTGCACCCTATGTAAAATTAGTGAATAAGTAGGTTTTAGTTCTTTTGCATACTTTTTGCTGTACATATGGTATATATATATATACATTTTAAAGTAATTCTTAAAGAAAAGTATACCTTCAATTTAATTTTCTACGCTGTTTCCTCCAAAATTAAAATGTCCTTTATTTTTAGTGACTTAACATATTGTGACCCCTAAAATTTGCCTTCCCCTTCCTGCTCCTCCATTCCTTTTAGACAAAGGTTGCATTTGAAATACCTAGTTTCTCCAAGTAAGACTGGAAATAAAGGCTACACTGAACGCATCACAAGCTTGTTAGTCCTCCTCATGGGTGCTTTGAGCTGAAATCCTGGAAAAGATGACAGTGGCACGGTTGCAGACATGGTGTTTGCTGGGCACGAGCCTGATGTGCTTGTGTAGCTGCCCTGTTGTGCTCAAGCCTCAGACCTCATCGTGCTTGACAGGCACACAGGCAGCGGCCTGAAGTGGCTGCAGGCTGAAGCCGTTCTTCTTGTCTTCAGGAATGATGCTCTACATGCATGGCAATTGATGGTGTTTTTTCTATCCATGGGGCTGTAAGGCATTGTCTCTGATCAGCAGTGGCTGTGTCACCTGTATGTTTTTCACACTACCCATAGTGATGTCTTTTGTTGACCCCACTGTTGTGTTATTGTCATCTGGAGTTGTGAAAATTTCATTGCGTGGTTGCAAAACCAAGCAGATTTGAGCAGGTGGAGAAGCAAGACCTACCTGCTGTGCTTTGCTCTCTTTGATGGGCATGCAGCCCATATGGGGCTGCAGTTCTTGAGAAGCTTTGCAGTTTCTCCCTCCTTGTCCAAGGTGCTCATAGCTTCTTATCTCTTGGCCTGTTGGGGCTATGCATGTACAGCAGTGAACATCTGTGGTAATTCAGCCTTGTCTAAAACTGGCTGAAATCCATAGGATCACAGGAAAACACCCTGGGCTTGAGGGCATGAGGTGCTTCAGGGCTCAGGCATTTGGAAGAGGTTGAAGCCACATCTCTCACCGTTCTGTTTTTCCAGAACCCAAAGAAGCTTTAATAGGCTGACACCAGTTTTTACACGATAATTCTGGTGCTACATTGTGCTGGAGTTGTTCTTCCTAATATTTTCTCATGCTCATGCTTGGTTCCCCACCTGTATCTCCTTCAAGTTGATGATATTTTAAAGCGTCAAGATAAAATAGGATGCCAGGAGTTATGGAGAGCTTGGACAGGTTCTGACATCTGCAACTTGGCTGCAGCAGCGTGGCCAAAGCAGTGCATTTCCACTGGCATTCCCCTAATTAAATATGGCAGGGGACTTACTAGTAGGTATCACCAGGTAGCTTTTCTTGCTGGCACTTAATGGAGAAGCTAGAGAATTCTTACATCTTAATTTCTGGCTTCTCCAACAGAGAATTCCTACATCTTAATTTCTTTAATAATTTTAAGGAAAGTGGTAGGTGACATTGAATAAAAATCGGTTTTTTTAGAAATGTCAAAGCATACACTGAGGTTTCAGAACTTGGATGGCGCTTTGGCATTTCTGTGATTAATGTGATTAGATTATTCCTGCTGCATGCCAAGGCGCCGTGCAAAACGTAGGCCAGCAGCCTCAGGGGCCTTGTCTTTACATTAACTTCTGGAAATCTACACTGGTGTTACGCTCTGGCCTTTTTGTGCGTGTTGAACGTGTTTTGTTTTTGTACCATCCTCAGAGGTACAAACATTGGCCCAACATCAACGTACCCAAATACCACCCCAGTAACGCTGTCGCTAATGACTTTGTAATCATTTCCCTAGTTGACAGGCTACCTCAAAATGCTTCATCAGGCACATGGGAATCACTAGCTCTTCAGAATGCGGGCACTGTACCTTCTTTGCAGGGATGTATGCTGCCTTTTAAGTGTTTAAACCTGTACTAAGCAGTACTGTCGAATGGGAAGGGGCAACAACTCCAGCATCCAAGCTCTTGGTTAAAGATGTGGCTGCAAGGCTGATCATTTAGTCGCTGTAGGGCAAGTCCCTTTCACAGGTAGAAGGGCTTTGTGTCTGGTCACTTCTTAATCTTGATCATTTGCTCTGAACAGATTCATTTGAGGAAAAGATACCTTCCATGTCAGCTGCTGGTTAACCTTGAGTTCCTGCATGTGTTCCCATCTGATGGTTGTTTTCAGTGTGTTTTGTTGGCAAAGAAACAGTGGGAGAAGGGGCTTGTGAATAGAGACAAATGCTTCCCACCAAAGTAGAGGAATGGAAAGGCAGGAGGGGGTGGTGGGGAGCAAGGACAGGATTCATACCCCAGGGAATTGCAGAGCAGCACTTCCGTCTATGATATGGGGAAGACGTGGCACTGCCAGCATTCGAGCCCTCCTCTTTGCTCAGGTCCAGCCAAGCTGGAGGTAGCCTAGGCTTGTCCAGGGGCACACGCAGAAGCTTCGGGAAGCATACAAGTGTTGGCTGCCTGTAAAGTTCACCCCTGCCATCTCATTTTGTGCAGCACTGTGTGTACTTTTTACACTACAGGAACCAGTGGGAGTGACTTCCCTGCTGGACAGCTGTTCCTGTGCACTAGGAAAGAAAAGTGCGATATGGGCTGAAGGGATCTGGGGGAAAGAAAGGTTGGCCTCACTGTGAAAAGCTTTCCAAAAACATGTTCTGTGCCATCTTTGCAAAAGATTTGTGGCTCTTTGCAGGTGATCATCAGTGCTATAGCATTTCTGTGCCTGGAGCCCAGGGCTTGTACTCTGAGGCCTGCTTTGCAGAAGCAGCCGGTGTTAGCAACTGTTGAAAGCCATGCTTTGAACAAGTGAAGTGCTGTAATAATGGCAAGTATTCCATATAAACTGTCAGCATTGAAAACTGGGCCTGCTGGTAACTTTGGCTTTATTCTGCCTATGCCTATGTTCTCCAGTGCTACCATGAGCTGTAGTCAATGATACATCCCTACCTCAATGGAGTGTGAGAAAGTTGGATTCATTTGGCATTGCAGTTTTTGTGATCAATACTGATGGTCTCTAAAATAAAAGCATTAACATCTTTTGGATGCAACATAGTGGGTAGGTATATCTACAGTGTTTGGAAAGTACACATAGGTAAGGCTTGGACGACTGCAGAACAATGGATCAAAAAGAAATCCGTATGCTAGAGAAGAAGATGCAGTTGTAAAAGAATTGCATATCCAAGGGTCAGAATTTAAGGTTACTGTGTCCTTAATTCTGGCGCTTTCTGATACTTAGTTTTCCAATATTTTTTTTCTCTGCTGTTTTGTATAAACTCTACTGGTGTAATGTCTTCTTGTGAAAGATGCTGAGTTGTAAAATAGATTTGTTTTTGTGATCTTGAATGGCATCTCACAAGTTGTGTGACAACTCCATCTCAGTGTCCCATCATGGAAGAAGGACCAAGAAACCTAAGGGTGAGGAGAACAAGGGAATGTTTAATAGGCTGTATTGCGATGGAGTTGGCAAGGACCTTGAGAGAACATCAACAGTGGCCCCCTAGGCAAAGATTAGCTAAACCAGCCCCCTTCCACACATTGGTCTTCAACCTGGCTGGAACTCAGGTTGAAGAATGGCTCAAAGGAAGTATCTGACAGTAAACTTAAATCTGCTGTTACGAAGGTGTCTACAAGTATGTTTCAGAGTCCACACAGCACACAGGCATCTGTGTTTCTTCCATTTAAATGATATGAAAAGATTTCTTAAAACCTCCAGTGATGGATATTCACAGCCTCCCTAGATTAGCTGTTTCATTGGTTCACGCTGCTTACTGTTGGATACCTTTCCTCCTCTCCAACCTGCATTTCTCATGCTACATTCTTATGCTGTCTCTTTTAGTCTTACAGGCCATGTTCTCAAGAGGAGTTATGGAAACGGTTTGTTTCCTTTCTTGCTTGCAGCTCTTTACATAATTAAAGACTGTTGTCTGCTCTTCTAGGCATTTGTAAAGCCTTCCACAGCCCTTACCATGCTCTTGCTGATTCTTTCTTTAGGCTCCTTCTGATCTCTTTCTTGAACACAGAAAATCTAAGATGAGGAAACATACATGTGTTGCCATCTTACCAGCCGCAAGCAAAAGCATCACAAACAATTTAAGATTTTATATACTCAATGTGCTGGGTTTTGCAACAGCATGCTTGCTGACTCAAGCATTGCTTGAAACTGTGTCCTCTCAGCTCCTCTGTGGCCGAGCTACAACAAAGGCAATCATTTTTCAGTCTTTGCAGAGAGGCTTTTTTCTGCTTTGACACAGAAGCTCGCATTTATCCTGACGAAATTGCATCTTATTTCTTTTCAGATTCTTTCTTGACCTTGTCAAGACCAGTCTCGGTTCTCAGTGCTTACGGTCCTTCCCAGGGATGTGCCATCTGCAGGTTAAATAATTATTATCCATCTTCAAATCATCAGTTTACATGTAGAAAAGAGCAGTTCCCAAGACAGGCAGACCTCAACAGGACCTCTCTTGATATCTGCCAGCAGACTGACTGTGATACTAATTAAACAGGCCAATTGTAGAAATCATAACCTGTTCTTCCTGTAGGCTGTTTTTTTTCCTGCTGATGACTTTCTTTTTCTCCCTTTTTTTTTTTCTGCATAGGCTATATAGAGTCCAAACAGTAGTTTTTGCCCTTCCTTAATAGTTTTAGAAAATCGGGGCTATTAAAATACTACAGTACACATTTTCCATGAAGCCTAACAATATAAATCTTTTTTGTACATGGTAGGTTGACAGCACACCACCTAACAACATTCATGCTCCTGTTATTTCTGAATAAGATGTAGGGGGAAAAAACACAAAACAGGCCTTTACCTGAATATGAAAGTTATTTTCATTGACACCCGCCATCTTCACAATATTTATCTTTGGATTGCTTCAGCAGTCACAAGCTCAAGATATGTTCTTGTCTGTATGCTTTCTTTGTAGGTATCCAAAGGCTTGGGTAAACCAGGAGTGTCTGATGGAGAGGAAAATACATATTCTTGCAGATAAGCCTCAAAAGCTGCTCGTGATCTAACTGTCAAAAGAAATGATATTGACTAAACTGGGATGCTAAAGGTCTAATAGTTTCTTCTAGGACTAACAAGATGCCTGTTTAAGCACAAGAATGAATCTAGTGGCTGCCTGTGCCAGTGCAGTTTGGAATACAGGTTTCTTCCGTGTTTTCCCATATCTTGAAGGATTGTTGCATACAGGTGTAAAACACTGTTTTCATCGTGCAGTAATTGGAATAGTCACCAACATTTACTTGAACTTTGCCAGTTTTAACTAGGTTTTATTTTAAAATGACATTCACCTGTGTTACTTCTGCCCTTCCTGCCATCACTGTTAGTGCTTGTGTCCTCTTATTCCCACCTCTCCTTATATCAGTGGGCTTTCTAGCTTTCTGCATTGCTGCTATTTTTTTCATACTAATTGGGGTCACAAGGCAAAACAGCCTAACGCTCAGTTGTTTTTTTTTTCATGTGATCCTTCCAGCAGTAAAATACTCAATACACAACAAACTCATTCTGCTTTAAATAGCTTGAACATTAGTACCTTATTGGGACCTGAAAAAAAAATTAGCATCAGTATGTCTGTTACTAGAGGGGTTGTGCCTTTCAAAGTGTTTCAAAATCTGGTTGCAAATCACCTTTGTCACCAAGAGTGACAAACAACTGCAGCTGCTTTGAGTAGGAAATGGAAATATCTTGTACTGGAAGGACAAAATTCCCTGGCTGTTTGGAAGTTAGCAAGACGTGAAATGTTGATGTTCACTCTCAGCCATTTTTGCTTTCTACCCATGCTGTTCCTACTTTCTCCAAAAAGGTTTTAAGCACCTACTCTGGTATCCCAGGCAGAAGCTGTGTGTCAGGCCACTCAAAAAGCTGTTCAACTAGTTTGTCGTAATGTAGTTGTGTCATTTCTTTCCAAGCTGTGCTTCAAGCAGCTCCCATCTAGCAATGCAAAATAACTGCTTGAAGAGCTCTGTTGTTTTTTTGTTCTTTTTTTTTTTTTTTTCCAGCTCCCAGAAGCTTAATCTGTTGAAAGTTAATTGGATTTTCTTTCGTAACATTTTTATTGCAAGGTGATCCAAGGTTTTGTGTAGGTTTAGCTATAAAGAAATTCCTCCTATTCTATGCAGCATCTTGCATTACTCTAATCATTTGACACATATATCTGAGTGCCTTCCAGAAGTGCATTTAAGCATAATGACTAACATCTGTCACACAGCAGTTGTTCTTTCTTTCATTCTCTTCCTCAGAGAAGGCTGGATGTGCCAATGCAGCCCTGGTATTTTTAACATAAATTAATTATCCATTCTGTTCTGCATTAATGTCCTAAAGGGTGAGCTGAAGCACATCTTGTGCTAACAGCAGCAGACCTTGACAGCTTCACAGCCAGGAGCAAACCAGAAAAATTTTGGGCTCCCAGGTAGCAAAGTTTAGCATTTGCACAGAAGGCTGGCATTGCACTGGAGGAGAACTTTCCTCCTCGAAGTTCACCTAGCTCTAAATGCTGGGGGAGGACAAGGAGCATCGAGGATTTTGCTGTTACTCTGTTTGTGAATATTGAATTGATGCAAAAAAGATCTCACCTCCAGAGAGCAAATGAAAAGCCAAAGGCAACCCTAAGTTCAGGCAGAGGAGCTTGAGTAGGTAAGGCAGGTGCTATCTTGTCATGTTACTGAGTTTGTAAGTCTGTGTTCACACCAAATACCTTTCCAGTCACTTCTGGTCTCCCTGGCTCCACCTTACCTAATAGGTTACCACTTTGCCCACCTCTCTGGAAATTGAAGGTATTTGTTTTATGTGTTTCTAGCTTCTAAATGCTCTCTGGCAAGTGAATTTTGTCAGTGAGTGTGAATTCAGCTCATTCATCTCTTGTTCCACCCATAATCATAAAAAAAGATTTTACTTAGAAGTGTTCTAAAGGCGTAGTATCCTCACGATTGCTTTTATTTCTCTCACAAAAGGCTGGTGAAGCACCTTGCTGCAGGCAGCAGTGATCTGCTGCAAATGGAAGAAGCACCCTGATGCCCATTGGCAGGTTTAGAGTATGCGCTACAAACCCAGAGATTACAGGCTGAAGTTTTCTGATAATCTCTAAAATACTGAAGACAGCTTTTTAACTTTGATCAGGTTTCATAATGCCTCAACCCGGCAGTATTAGGAAAATACCTTTTTGACTCAAACCCTTACTTAGAAAGCTGAGAACAAGCACAGCATTCGATGAGGTGAACCAAGCCTCATTCCTGTTGTCTCAGAACATATCTTTTCAATTGGTATTCTTTCTCTCTATCTGTCTGCAAAACATCAAGGTCACTAGAGCAGTGCAGATAGCAGCCTGTGTCTGATGTTCTTTGGCCTTAACCATTCCAATGACTAAAGGCATCCTGTTCTGCAGCCTTCATGTACTTACGCAGCTATTGCGTGGACAATGGGAATTTGGGAGCACACAGATGTTAACTGTGGGTTGAGGCGAGTTTCTGCGAGGTTGGGGGTCACGCTGTAGCAAAGCAGCAGTTATTTAGCTTAGCAGTTGTTTAGTAACTCTCACTTATTCACTCTGTGATCATTCTCATGTTTGGATATTATAGACTGCACAACAGCCCTCTGGGGTAGGACTGAGGTACTGCTCATGTAGTCTGTATCTGAACCTCTTTTTGAGATAGGCCCTTAAAAGCTGTCCAGCAGAGACTCAGCCTTCCTTGCCCCTCTGTGCTGAGGAAGAGAAATCATGACCTGGGGGATCTTCTTACCCTCCTCAGCTTCTTAGGCTCTTAACAATGCGAAGAAGCTCACATCCTCTTCCATTCTGCTTCATTACGCTTGACGTTCAACAGAAAGCACACATTTGTCTGTACTGCCCTGTTTTTTTACGTTGTAATGAATTTTAACTTTTCACAGCAATGGACTTGCTATTTTTTTAGTTGCATACAAGAGGTTCATTTCCCTCTTAAAACAGAGCGGAAAAAGAAAAAAAAAAATTAGCTAAACGCCCATGCTTGCTTTCAGAGCCTGAGGGTGCACTGGATTAACACCTGAGGGATGGTTTGCCACTGCAGAATTTGGGCACTGACACGAGCACAGCAAATGCAGCAGCGGCCTCGCTCTTTGTCCATGCTGCAATCCTGCAGCAGCCCTTGACCTGCTACGATACATCCTGGGGCAGCCCTCTGCAGTTGTTCAAACCCCTTGCCAACCTCTTCCTCTTTGCAGCTGTGAGGCTGTGCACAAGACGACAAGCAGGAGACAACGACATGGGTGTTTTTCACTTGCCTCAGCCTAAACACCAGCCTCTTTTTGTCATCCAGTCTTCCAGGAGCCTTTTCTGCAGTCATTCTTGCCAATACTCTAGCAGAGATCTTTTATCCTGTCCAGCTCACAAGCCTTGGCAACTGAAGCAGTCCCAGCCAGCTATGCAATGCAGCTCCACAATGCTAAATATTACCAGTTTCAGAAAATGTGACTCCGACGGAAGGCTTGGACTGTGAGTTAGGAAGAACATAGATTTTTTTATATGCATTTAAAAAGGGGGTTCACTTCAACCTTCCCCAAAAGGCTTTCAAGCCAGACAGCTATTTTTTTTTTAAAGTTATTTATTAAAAAGTAAAAAATCAGTAAGTTTGTACTAGTAAAACCTAGAACTCTCTTTTACCAGTGATGGATTTTTTCCCTCCTCCTTGAATTTTGTATGGATGCAGAAACTAATGCAAAATAAGAGTTGCAATATCAGAGGAGATCAGAACAAAGTGTTCCTTTGGATGGAATTTGATGCAATTTTAAGCTGCTTGTAGAAGATTGGCTGTGAAGGTGAACTAATTTGGGCTGAAAAAGCTGTTGCTGTTAAACTATATTGGGTATGCTTCAGAAGATGGTCCTAAATAGTTGTTTTGTTTTGTTTTTTTAAACCACCTCTGACATCTAGGAAAGATAAACATATTTTTGTCTTAGATTGTAGGTGTGATTCTTGCTGTAAGAAACTTACATTTTTTAGAAACCATCTCAGAAAGACATTTAAAGCCAAAAATATTGTACGGAAGCCTAAAAAGAACAAAACAGAAATCACAGATCTGAGTCAGCACCAGGCCACCATGTGCAGAGATTTATGGCTAAGTTAGATACGAGTTGTGACCCACCTGCCTGCATTCCTGGCCATTCCCAGGCTCAGTCTGGTGCCTGCAGAGCCCCTGACCAAGGCTGGCCTTTCTCACTCTCCTGCATGGTGTTGGTGCTGCAGCATTGCAACCAGACAAGAACTCGAGTTGGCTGCATTTTGGGGGCCCTCTGCTCCTGATGTAATATTTGGTCCCTGGCTGATGTCAAGTAAAGACCTTGCTTTCTGCCAAGCTAAACCCCCTACTGTTTCAACTACACTTTACCCTCTTTTCTTTCTACTCATAGATACTGTACATACTGCTTAACTGCTGCTGCCTTTAATTCCAGAAGCTGTAGTTGGTGGCAGGCAAAGTGATCTACGTACAACCTCTGCCTTACTCATAAGCGTACATTACGAAGCTTAGCCAGCATTAATAAAATGTTTTGCTTTCAATGTGCTGTCCCTGTGGTCCAATGTTCCCATCATCAGGCTCCACGGTTACAAAAGCTCAATATATCGGTGTTCTCTGGCTGCCTTCAGTTTCATAATGCTGGATGCAGACCACAATGCCCAGCTATGTGGGTGGGTATCCAGCTAGGACTAGAAAGCAGATAGATAGTTGTTCAATGCTTCTAGGCTCAGAAAATGCACAAAGGCTCTGAAGTTAGACTTCAGATGTCCCTATGTGCCTGCTGACTTTCTATTTTCTGCTGCTTCAATGCTTGCTGTGTTAGAGGGGCTGTGGTGGCAGCATCCCTCCGTAGAAGGAGCAGCAGCAGTGGCTAGAAGGTCCTGTAAATGAATTTATCACACATGCATCACTCCCCTCCGTGCACTTCAAGCTTCACTGGGATTGGATACAGGTGGCCACAGAAG